TATATATATATATATATATATATATATATATATATATATATCTTGTTTGTATAGGTAAGGAAGTATATGAGGATTTATTATTACAACAATTAATATATAAAGGTTATTCTTCTTTTTTTTCTCTTTCTTATTGGCAAAATATAACTGTCTCCTTTTTATCTCCTATAGATGTACATAATCATATATGGAGATATATTTGTCTCCTTTTTAATTATATTAATACACAACAAGAACAACAAACAAAAAAAGGAGGATATAATTATATAAATACAACTATGTGGGAATAAATTGCTCCTGCTGCTGCTCCTGCTGCTGCAGCAGCAGCAGCAGCAGCAAAAAGTGATGCAACAACAGCAGCAAAAAGTTCTGCAGCAGCAACAGCATTACTACTACTGCTGCTGATACTGCTGCTGCTTTTTTCTATTAATGCCGCCTATTTAGTTCTTATATAATTTATAAATAAATATACATTTATTTATTTATTTATTTATTTATTTATTTATTTATATATACATATATATACTTTTATTTGTTTATTATATATATACTATGTATATAATATATATTATATATTAGTATATACAGTATTATAGTTGCACTAAGGAGACAGTAGCTACTTAGTGCCTCCTCTTATAGACAAAAGGAGTACAAATATAGATACATATATAAATATAAATATAAATATAAATATAAATATAAATATAAATATAAAGAATATAAAGAAGTACAGTAACACCTCACCCGGGCATGGGGGCCCCCTGGGGGCCCCCTGTGGGGCCCCCCTAAAACCTTAATATAAGGGTTTATTAGTAGGAGAGGAGCAATAATAAAATAATAATTACTTTTTATATAATAAATAAGGAATAAATAATTAAAGAAGGATTAATGTACCCTTTTATGTAGGGGGGCCCCCCAAAGAAGGAAGGACAGGAAGGAGGGGGGCCCCACTACTTGTATAGGTATAGTTGTATGTCTGCATGCATTTTTGTTTTTTTTCCTTATTTTTTTATTTATTTAATTATAATAAATAAAATGTTTTAATTTATTATTATTTATTTTTCTTGTCTTCTCCTTATTATACCCTTACCTATAAGAAGGGGGCCCCCCTCCCTCCTATAAGGACAGGGAGGGGCCCCCCAAGCGATGCAGGGTACCAGTTTTAAGTCCTTGGGGACCCCCCATCATAGGATCTATAATTACAGGCCCTTACAGTACCTTCTTCATGGGTGTGGGGGCCCCCTAGGGGCCCCTGCGTGTGGGGGGCCCCGCCGCAGAAGGGTACTGCAGCAGCTAAATGGATCTTCTGGAGGGTACAGTGGGGGGCCCCCCTTCCCTTTTCTTGCCTCTAATAAAACAAATAAAAAAGGGTTTAGTTTAGGGTCTCCTATAAATGGCAGCCATATAGGGGGCCCCCCCCACCTCCTCTGCAGCAGCAGCAACAGCAGCAGCAGCAGCAGCAGCAGCATCAATGTGCTGCAGCAGCTTGGGGGCCCCACCCAAAGGGCATTTAAATGTAATATTGCCTTGCTGCCCCCTTGGAAGAGATGGCAGCCTAAGAGGGGCCCCCGTGTACCCATGGGGGCCCCTGAGGGTACAGGGACACTAGAGGAGGTATTAAGAGGAGCAAGTGTCTCCTTTTTACATAAAATTTTGTCTCTTTTACAGGGGCCCCCTAATAAAGAAAAAATAATAAATAAATTAAGGAAAGAGGGGGAGGAGGAAGAAGAGGAAGAAAAAGATCTGCTGCTGCTGCTGCTGCCGCTGCAGCAGGCCATTAAAAATCTCTCTGCTGCTGTAGGGGGGCCCTCAGCAACCAGCGAAGTGTCTCCTTTCTGCAGCAGCAGCAGCAGCAGCATCTTCATTAACTTACAAACAGAGACGGGGGGCCCCCCTGTAGCTGTGCCTCGTCTTGGTTCTCTTGTTGGTGCAGTTAAGAGACACCATGAGGGGGCCCCTCCCGCTGCTGCAGCAGCAGCAGGAGGGGGGCCCCCTTCTCCTCCTTCTGCCTATGAGGGGGCCCTTGCTGCTGCAGTAGAGTTTGT